ACATATTAGGCATTGGAGAGATGAGATGGACTGGCATGGGGCATTTTGAGTCAGATGACCATATGATATATTACTCTGGAGATGAAAAGACAAGGAAAAACGGGGTTGCCTTTATAGTAAAAAAAGTAATTTCTAGATCCATCTTGAAGTACAAGTTTCACATTAGCACAATCAAATGTTCTGGGATTCCCATTCTTCTCAGAGTCAGCCACAGCTTATTGTGATCCACACAGTCAAAAGCCTTTGCAAAGTCAATGAAGCACAGATAGACATTCTTCTGGTACTCTTTGCTTTCTGCTAATATCCATCTAACATTAGCTATAGCAGTCCATTTTATCTCACTTATGCCTAGAATATTGAATAGTATTCCAATTCTTTTTTTAAATTGTGAATTTAAAGAAAGTTTACAGAAAGGTTGGATTTTCATTCATTCATTGTTACATATTTTCCTTCCTCTTTCCTTTTTCCCTCCCCCAGTCCACTTTGCAATACATCTCTTGTTCCAAATTGTTGTCATACACACAATGCTTAATCATATCCCTATCAGATGGTTTCTAATGTCTTCTGTTCCAATGCAGTATTCAATTTATTTCTTACAACATCCAGTTTTCCTAGATTTATACTTCATAAATTCCATTTTCCTGTTTTGAATGGATGTTTTCAGCTTTCATTTAGAGTCATGCTGTATCAGCAAATGAAAATCTTTAAAACTTTCCCCCTCATTTTATCATTTTTGCCTTTTCTTATCAGTGTCTTTATAAATCCAATTTGAATATTTTGAAGTAAACATATAAAACTAAAATGTTTTCTAGATCTTGAGTGCAGGCCGTACTTGATTAAAAGTGCACTGACATTATCATCAGGGTCAAAGTATCTAATCTTCTTAGGAACTTCTTGGTTCTGCACCAACTCTTCAAGATAACCTCTCACAATATCAACTATGATATCAATTTGATAATCAGTTCTCAAAAAAATCTGCCTATATTTTCTTTGAAATATTTTCTTCAAATCTCCAACCTCAAATTTATACTTTGTATAATGGGTCACAATATCTGAGTTTATGTGATCTCAAGACAAAGCTACATTATAGCTAATCCACTATAAAAAATATCTTTTTCCACTATGTGACACATTTTATTTTAGTCAGTATTTGACAAAATAAAACCATTTGGACAGTATCTTTGAGTCCCTTATAACATCACATAAGATACTATTTAAAATCTTAACCAGATGACTCAATCATTGTTTAAATGATATATAACTGACACTCTACCAATGAAATTCTTTAAAGTTTCTTCTCAGACCTCTTCTCCTTAGTCTTGAGATACAGTAAAGCTCACTATTTCTTTTCCCAAAGGAGCGCTCAAATTGCTGACCTGCAGCAGAAGCTGCTAGATGCAGAAAGTGAAGACAGGCCAAAACATCGCTGGGAGAGTATTACTACCATTATGGAAGCTAAGTGTGCCCTGAAATATTTAACTGGAGAGGTAAGCATGACTCTTCCTACCAGCTATTAGGGATCTGGCTGGGTTGGCTGAAATGGATTTTGGAAAATTATTGTAATATTATTGCCACTTTTCATGGTAGGATCTCCTATGGCACTAACATCTGAGAAGTAGTTTCATGGATAAAGGCTGGCTGAAGCAAATGTAAGCCAGCCACTTTAAAAATATCAGAGGGAAAAAATCATATGATTTACAAATTGATACCTACTGTACCTGGTATATAGCAAGTGCTCAATAAATGTTGTTATGTGCTGTTAAGTCAGAACGAACTCTTAACTGACCCTCCAGCCAGTGTTCATGGACAGCAAGTTGCATGGGTGGAGATTGCCTGTTTCTCTCCTGAGGAGCAACTGGTGGATTCGAACCATTTGTCTTTTGGTTGGGAGCACAGCTCCCAACTTTGAGTTGGGGCCACCAGAGCTCCCTCAATAAATTCTGGTGGTTATTGTTATTATTAGATTAGGATGACATTCAGTCACAGGTTCAGCATATATACTGTTGAACTATGTTTCTTTTCAAATTGAGGTGAAATTCACTTAACAATATTAACAATATTATAACAATATTATATTAACAATATAAATTGAATACTTCAGTGACATTTAGTATGTTCATGATTTTTGTGCATCCCATTGCCACTACTTCACTCCAAAAGGATATCCAGTAAGTACTCTTTTAGCAGATTTTTGTACGACTTTTAAAAACATCTATGCAATATGAATTTTAAAATATACAATCTAGAAAATAGAAGCTTTAACAATCTTTGACATGTATGGACTTTAAGGAAAATCTATCTTCACCAACCTAAAGTAATACATTGTCTTACCTTACAAGAGACATTAAAGTTGATCACCTCAGATGATCCAGGCCTTTTCACTTGAGATAAGCATACAAACTAAACCTACAAATTTGAACAAATTACCTTTTATACATATTTCTATTCACTTGGCAAATTTTCTATCCTGAGGAAATTCCCGTTAGTTTTGTCAGCAGTGATATTTTTGTTTACCATCTGGTTTAGTCTTTCTCTCATTATCATCAAGTCAGAACCAACTTATAGCTGACCCTCCAAAAGGCTTCCATGTCTATAAATCACATGGGAGGAGATTCTCTAAGCTTCTTCCATGGAGCCATTGGTGAATTCAAACTGCCAGAGAGGCATAGCCTTTGGGTTAGCATTGCCACTTCCTATGGACTACGTCACCAGAGATCTCTTTGGAGCTAGTCCCAAACTAACTGTGGTTGAGTTAAAACCAACTCATAGCTGATCCTCCAGCAGGTTTTCAGAAGCTGTAAATCACACAGGAGGAGATTGCCCTCCTTTCTCCTTCAGAGCAACTGATGGATTTGAACCACCTCTCTTTGGGTTGGCAGTACAAGTCCCCACCTACTAAGCCACCAGAATTCCCTTTTATGCTAGTAGTAAATATACAATTAGACCATCATAGGATATCATCTAGCCTAAAGAGCTAGAGTTGAACACAGACACTGAGATGGTCATAAGGACGTGTCCTGAGGGTTTCTCTTTAAAATCAAGAAAGAACTTCTTAAATATCCAGATCTAAAGATACTGTTTGTATTAGGTCTATTTTTGCCTTGAAGCTAAGCAAGAGATTAAATTAATGGTGGCCTCTAACAAACCAGTAAGCCATGGAATTGACTTTGACTCATGGGGCTCTTATATATAACAGAGTAGAACTATGTTCCATAGAATTTTCAGTGGCTGATTTTTTTCACTAGGCCTTTTTTAATGAGACATTTCTAAGTGGGCTCAAGCTTCCAGCCTTTTGGTTGGCAATGAGTAAGTTAATTGATTGCATCACCCAGGGACATCATAACCTAAGATATTTATCATAGCATAAATGTGGGCTCTTGGCCTGAGAGAGTACCATAATGGGGTTACTATTTAATGTGAGAATCCATATAATATGAAAATATAAAAAGAAACTTGGAAGAACTTTTTCAGTTATTTCAAGAAAGCTGACATTTTCCTGCCTAATAAATGGAGAAAGCTTCTCATTCTCTAAATAAACTGATCTTCTTTTATCCCCTCTAGCTGGTCTCCTCCAAAATACAGGTCAGCAAGCTTGAAAATACCCTGAAACAGAGCAAAGCCAGCTGTTCTGACATGCAGAAGATGCTGTTTGAGGAACGAAATCATTTTACTGAGATAGAGACAGAGTTACAGGCTGAGCTGGTCAAAGTAGAGCAACAGCACCAAGAAAAGGTGAATTTTAGCAAGCCAAGAAGTTAAGAGATGAATAATTTTCCTAATCAGTAACTGATGTCACTGCCTTTTGTTGTTTGTTTTTAAAATATGGTGTTTCAGAAAACATTCCATTCAAAAAGCCATATATTTTCTTTGTCCAAATTTTGAAAATAAGAAATCTGAAATAGAGACGGTACTTATTTAAATTTTCAAAATTAAGATGCTGCTGAATCATTTCTATGTTTACTCCTTCAAGTAATGACAAAAAAAAGGCTTCTAAGTCTTTGATGAGTCATTTGAATAACTAGACTAAAGTGAAAGTGCTATCTCCCTTTATTCCTTTGGTATCACTCAGGATTGTGTCTTGTTCTAGGTGCTATACCTTCTGAGCCAGTTGCAGCAAAGCAGAATGTCAGAAAAACAGCTGGAGGAGTCAGTAAGTGAAAAGGAACAACAGCTCCTGAACACACTAAAGTGTCAGGTAGGATGAATGATGGGAAGGCCTTCTGAGATAGATTTCCACAGGCCTGACTGATAATCCTGTTTGATTTAGGCCACTCTTTGTCTTTCTCTGTCTCTTTCTCGTTCCTATTTCTGTTGAGATGGCAATGACTCTTAGCCCACCTAGTATTATGTATTATAAGACTAAATTGCAAAGCCTTGGGGAGGAAATTATTCATCTTTCTGCTATGAAGCCACTGATAGATTCAAACTGCCAGAGAGGTTTGGTCTTTGCATTAGCAGCACAACTCCCTATCGGCTAGGATACCAGACCTCCCTATGTACCAAATAAACTGCCTAGTCTATGTTCAGAATTTAATTTTTAAAAGGAAAAGACAGTGTTACATTGGTAGCCTGTATTGCCTTTTGGCCCTGTTTGATCAGTTTAGGGCACTACAGAGTATGTTGTTGTTAGATGCCATCAAGCCAACTATTACTCATAGCAACCTTATGAACAATAGATATGGTCTTTGCCCTATCCTGTACCGTCCTCATCATAGCTAATATGATCAAGCCCGGTTGCAATCACTCTGTCATCTGTCTTGCTGAGAGTCTTCCTCTTTTTTTCTGACTCTCCACCTCTCTACCAGAAAAATGTCTTTTTCCAAGAACCAACCCATTCTGATAGCATGCCTAAAGAATATGAGACAAAAAGTTTCACCATCCTTGTCTCTAAGGAGTACTGTGGTTGTACTTCTACCAAGACTTCTTTAATTCTTTTGGCAGTCCATGAGATATTCAGTGTTCTCCAACACTACAATTCAAAGGGATTGATTGTTCTCCTGCTATCCTTATTCATAGTTCAACTTTCAGGTGCATAGGAAATAACTAAAAGTACCATGGCTTAAATCAGGTGCACCTTAGTGTTTAAACTGAAATGATTACTCTTTAGTATTTTGGTTCCTTTAGTTCTTTATAGTAAATTTTCCCAATGCAACACAACTTTTGGTCTTCGGGGTTTTTTACCTTTTTTATTGTGATTTTAACAAAAGTTTACAGAAAAGTTAGATTTTCATTCATTCTTTCATTATTACACATTTTCCTTCCTACCTCTGATTTTTTTTATTTCTTGACTGCTGTTACCATGGATGTTGATAGTGAACCCAAATAAGATTAAATCATTGACAACTTCAGTCTTTTCTCTATCATGAAGTTGTCTATTGGTCCAATGGTAAGGATTTTTGGCTTCTTGATAGTAAGGGAAGTATTTAAAGCTATAATCTTTGATTTTTTTTTGGTTGGTTGTTTTGTTTTGTATTTTTTACCATGCAACAAAGTCTTTTATTACATGAATTTTTAAAATTGAGGAGGACCTGAAGCGCTTGCTGCAGAAGGTGAAGGACTGCAGCCTCCTATATGGATTGAAGCTCAACATCAAGAAAACAAAGATTCTAACCACTGGGCCAATTGGCAGCATCAGTATGGATGGTGAAGAGATTGAGATAGTTAGCAGTTTTAGTTTGCTTGGCTCCACAATCAACACTCTTGGTAACAGCAGCCAGAAAATCAAGAGACGAATTGCATTGGGAAAGTCGGCTGTGAGGGACCTCTCAAGAGTACTGAACAGCAACGACGTCAGACTGGAGACTAAGGTGCACCTGATCCGGGCTATAGTCTTCGCAATTACGTGCTATGCATCAGAGAGTTGGACAGTGACTAGGGTTGATAGAAAGAGAATTGATGCCTTTGAGCTGTGGTGCTGGAGAAGAGTGTTGAATATACCATGGACTGCTAGGAGAACAAACAGGTTTGTCCTAGAGAAGGTGAAGCCAAAATGCTCCTTGGAGTCAAGGATTCTGAAGCTTCGTCTGACCTATTTTGGGCATGTTGCAAGGAGGGACTGGTCCTTGGAGAGGGACATTATGTTTGGCAGAGTGGAGGGGCGGCAAAGGAGAGGAAGACCTTCGATGAGATGGATCGATTATGTGACTGGAGTGGTGGGAATAAGTGCATTTGAGATGGCTAGGTTGGCACAGGATAGAACAGCGTTTAGAGCTTTTGTACATAGGTTCACTATGTGTCGCAAGCGACTCAATGGCACATAACAACAACAACAACAATCTCTCTGTCCACAGGCAATTAAAAGTGTACAGCTTACCATATTCAAACTTGCAAATCTGAGTATTGCCTAAAGAAGGGGAAAGTAAAGCACAATTAACCAGGAGGCCAAGTCATCTCCCAGTCTCCAAGAACATGGAGATAAACATGACCGTCCACCATCTCAACCTTCATTCACCACCATTCAGTAACCCTTTTCAGGCGCAGATCAGTAGCACATTTCTTGCCAACAATCATGAGATGTCCAAGAAGACTTCATCATCATGTTCTGCTACAGAAATCTGGGTAATAGGTTTTTTAGGTATCACCAGAAAATGTGTTTATGCTTGAGGTGAAATGTCATTAAAATCAAGGAACTGCTCATCCTCAAAAGCTGTTTTGGCTGAAATTTCCTTGCAGATGATCTTCCCAAAGATTATATCGACCCCAGGCCAAGTGGTCTGAGCCATGGTGATCTCATCTGCCATCTCAGGTCTCCCTCCTGCACCCACAGCTCTGGGAGAAGCACGGGAGGAGGGAAGGGCCAGGGAAGCCCAAGAGAGGGAGGAGTCATGCCAAACCGGCATGAGATTGCTACCTACAAGCCCCAAAAGCTGTAGTCTGATCTTCTGTAGCAAGTGTTTCAAGTTCTTCTCACTTTCATGAAGCAAGTTGTGTCATCTGCATAATGTATGTTGTTGCTGAGTTTTTCTCCAATGTCACATTCTTCTTCATATATTCCAGCTACTCAAATGATTTTCTCAGCATACAAGTTGAATGTTGTTGTTGTTCTTGTTAAGATGCCATCATGTGAAGTACAACTCATAGCGACCCTATGAAAAACAGATCTGAATCCTGTCCTATGTTGCACAAGCTGCACAATGCTTACCATCTCCAACATATTTGAGCCTATTGCTGCACTCACTGTTTCAATCCATCTCAATGCAAGTCTTCTTCTTTTTCACTGACCTTCAATAGCAACTTGCCCAAAGTATGAGAAGCTTCACCATCCTTGCCTCAAAAGAGCACTCTGGTCACACTTTCTCCAAGACATATCTATTCTTTTGGCAGTCTGTGAAGTATTTGGTACTCCTTTCCAACACCAAAGCTCAAAGGCATCGATTCTTCTTCTGTCATCCTTATTCACTTGTCCAGCTCTCAGATACATTGCAAGTGATTAAAAAGACCAGATCAGGCACTCCTTGGTCTCCAAATTTATATCATTGCTCCTCAGTAGTTTGGAGAGGTCTCTGACAGCACACTTGCTCAATGCAATGTCTCCTGATCTTTCTCTTTTGTTACCAAGTATGTTAATTGTGGATCCAAGTAAGATGAAATCACTGACAGTTTCAATCTTTTCTCCATCTATCACCTATTAATCCTGTGGGGAAGATTTTTGTCTTCTTGATGTTGCCATGTTATCCATATTGAAGGCTATAGTCATTGTAAGTGTACAGTCCTAACATACACCTTTCCTTATTTTTAAGCTATGCAACGTTCCCTTGTTTTGTTCAGACAAAAGCTTCTTGATCTATGTATAGATTTTGCATGAACACTATTAAGTGTTCTCAGTTTCCTGTTCTTCTCAATGTTAGCCATAATTTGTTATGGTCCACACAGTCAAATGTCTTTACGTAGTCAATAAAACACAGATACACATCTTTCTGGTATTTTCTGCTTTCAGCCAAGATCTGTTTGACAATAACAATGATATCCTTTGTTCTATAGCCTCTTCTGAATCCAGCAAGATTTTATTTGCATATGATATTAATGATATTGTTTGATAATTTCCACATTTTGTTGAATTGCCTTTTTTGGGAATGGGAACAAATATGGATTTCTTCTAATCAGTTGGCCAGGTAGCTGTCTGCCAGATTTCTTGGCATAGACAGACTAGTGAGCACATCCAGGGCTGCATCTCTTTGTTGAAACACATCAATTGGTATCCCATAATTCCTGGGGCTTTCTTTTTTGTCAATGCCTTAAATATAGCTTGGACTTCCTCCATTACCATTGGTTCTTGATTATATGCTACCTCTTGACATGGTTCAATGTCCGTCAATTCTTTTTGGTACAGTGACTGTGCATTCCTTTCACCTTTTTTATATGCTTGCATTGCAATTTGAGGTCTGAATTTGTTTTTCAGTTCTTTCAGCTTGAGAAATCTAGAGCATGGTCTTGTCTTTGATTTTCTAATTCCAGCTCTTTGCACATTATAATACTTTGTTTTCTCTTTTTGAGCTGCTCTTTGAAATCTGTTCTTCTCTTTTTCATCAAAATTTCTTCCCTTTCTTTTGGCCTCTCTATATTCTAGTGCAATTTTTTTTATTTGATTATTATTTTTTGTGCATGTACTGTCAAATCAGATCTGACTGGTACAGGAGGAAATTGTTCCTCTTTCTCCGGCAGAGCATCTGTTGGATTTGAACCGTGTACCTCTGGGATTGCAGTACAGCTTCTTGCCACTAGGCCACCAGAGCTCCCCTTCTAGTGCAATTTTTCAGAGTCTCTTCTGACATCCATTTTTTTAAAAATTTTATTAATTTTAATGAACATTTACAGAGATTTTGGATTTCCATTAATTCATTGTTGCACTTTTCTCCCTGCCCAGCCCTCCCCTCCGCCCCAGTTCGCTCCTCTCTTTGAAAAGCAAAAGAAAAATTCCTTCTTTGGTATACAATTCCCCCGCACCCCTCCTACCACCCCGAGTACACTCCACTGTGTAACCTTAATTCTGGACTCTTGTGATAATCATAATATCCTATCATATACCACTTTTAAGTTATTCTCTCCCTCATCTGTTTCAATGCAGTATACATAATTTATCCAGTTTTTCTCAGTCTTACCCCACTGATATCCATTTTGATCGCTACTTTCTCCTCTGTCTTTGTAATGACCTTGTTTTCTTCATGGATGAACCCTGATGTCATCCCACAGCTCATCTGGTCTTCAATCAGTTCTGTCCAATGCATCAAACCTGTTCTTGAGATGGTTTTTAAATTCAGATGAGATAGACTCAAGGTCATATTTTGGTTCTTGTGGATTTGTTTGCATTTTCTTCAAGTTCATTTTGAACTTGCACCTATGTAATTGATCTATTCCACAGTCAGTCCCTGGCCTTTTTTTGAATGTTGATATTGAGCTTTTCCATCGACTCTTTCCACAGATGTAGTCAATCTGATTCCTGTGACGTCTGTATGTATAGTCACTACAGAATATAGCCACACGTAAAGTAATCTAGATTTTGGTATAGAAATAGTAGTTCATACTCTACTATGGAATTTAAGGCCTCCTGATTCTTTGCTTCAACCTAAGGTCTAAATAGTTTGAGGAATTGAGATCATCTACTAGTTATTTAGAATCCTAGGGCATTCAACTGTACCTTTCTGAGCTCGTTCTTAACTGAGAGTTGATACATTTGTAAAATGCCTGAAGATCTGAGTAAGTTTTTTAATCAGCATACTGATGTCAATAAGGAACATGAGTCCAGAGGACAGAAAAAATAAGGAAGGCATCCAGGGCTATAGCCTTTGGATACTATTATTGTAGTCAGAGCTGCTAGGAGCATTTGAACAACCCCAACATTCAGGGAACCTAGGAATTGGAAATCAGTCATTTTTCTGGGTGCCAGGGCCTGCTATGTAAAAACAATATGTCACAAGCAGCTTGAAAGCAGTATGCTTTCATTTGTGTGAGTTGTTTTATAATTTGGAGTGTCCAAAATAACTCCACCTGTCATAGCACTATGTGGAAATAGGATGAAGAACTTGAGAAGATGCAAGAAGTATGTGAGAAAAACCAGCAGTTGCTCCTAGAAAATGAAATCCTCAATCAGGTTATATAGTTTCCCACTCACTTAGGAAGGCCTGCTACTACTGAAAGCAATCTTCGGTTTTACTTTAACTCAGAAATTCAACTCATTGCCATTAAGTCATAACCAACTCACAACAAACCTTGTATTGAGTTTCCAAGACTGTAAATCACACAGGAGGAGATTGCACATTTTTTCTCCCAAGGAGCCTTCAGTGGATTTGAACCACCAAGAGAGGCACAGCCTTTAAGTTAGCAGTGTAACTCCTTTCAGCTCTGGTGACTTGGCTCTGTAATGCAAATGAACTCTACCATATAATAGGATAGGATAGGGGATAGGATAGGGGATAGGAGATGATCTACAAGGTCACATTCACTTCAAATGATTGATAGAAAACCAAAAAGTCAACCCATTGCCATTGAATGAATTCCAACTCATATCAACCCTGTAGTGCAGGGTTGTTGTGAACTGCCTCATACGGTTCCCAAAACTGTTGAGATTTATAGAACCCAAGTACCACATATTTTGTCCTTGGTGAATTCTAACCACTGGTCTTTTAGTTATATCCGTCTGTCTACTGTACCATTAATAAATCCTTTTCAAAATGGTATGAACATGAATTTTTTACTTTGCCTTTTTCTGATCTAACACTGTTGTTGTCATTTTTATTGTTGTTGATTGCTGTCGAGTCGAACACAACTCATAGCGACCCTATGAACAAAAGGCCTGAAGCTTTTCTATAAATGCGAGTCCTGCAGCCTGCGCTAATATATCACTGATTTACTTTACTATGGTTTAAAAGTAAACTCACCAATGCAGCCTAAACATGAAATCTTTGTTTTTTTAAGCCATGAAGCTAAAGAAGCTGCCTTGCATTTTATACTCTGTTTCTTCTTTTCAAATAGAAGCTGACTTTTCTCCAAGTAGCCAGCAAACAGGATTCTCATCTTCCTAAGGATGCACTTATATCCCCAGACTCTTCTTTTGAATATATTCCACCTAAGGTAAAATGTTCAGTACCGCTGTGACTTTTCATAGCTTAGATTTGGGATGATGTTGTTGTTGTTAAGTGCCGTCGATAGTGACCTTAAGAACTAAAGTCCTCAACACTTGCATGACTTTCATCCTTTCTCCAGGTTCATAGGGTTTCGGGAGGCAATCTATTTACAGAAGTGGATGCCACTCCTGCTTCCAAGCTTGTTTTAATCAGGGAGCTCCCTCAAACACTGTCCACCATGGGTAACCATTATCACATTTGACACATCAGTGTCACAGTGTTCAGCTTCACAGCAACCACAAGTTACCTCTGTACGGCAAGTGGACACACCAGGGATATACAACCTAGAAGAATGTTTGACCAAAAACAATTAAGAACAGGCCTGTAGGCCACAGATTAGAGTCACCCGCCTTTGGCTTGGTATCATCACTTGTGGTCCACTAGGCCAACTGATCTCTCTGTGTTAAGTGCCGTCGAGTCATAGGCGACTCATAGCAACCCTATGAATGAAAGTCCTCGACTTGGGATAAGTGTGCTAAAATATTCTTTTTCTAAAAAATTGAGAGTTTAAATTCCCAAAGTCTAGCATCAGAATTTTCCTTGAATTCCCAGATAAAACTAAAGTACAATCCTGAAGGAAAAGAGGCATTCTCAGGGAGCTCTGGTAGCCTAGTGGCAAGAAGCTGCACTGCAATCCCAAAGGTGCACAGTTCAAATCCACCAGATGTTCTGATGGAGAAGGGTCAATACCCTCCTGTGCCAGTCAGATCTGATTCGACAGCACACAAAAAGTAATAACAATTTTTTAAGATTATTTTAAAAATAATTTTAAAAAGGCATTCTTTCTCCTCTAAAAGACTAACTTTTGACCATGCAATGGCATGATGTAACACAAGTGAAAAGGAAGAGCAGGAGAAAAGAACACAGCTGTCCAACCAAAGATACTTATAATATCATGGCCCTCTCGTCCTTCCTCAGTTACCTCAGCCTCCCATTTCTGTTCCTTCAAAGACTTTATGAAGCCAAAAGTTAAAGCAGAATTTCTTCTGATTGGTAAAACCAAGTAAGATATATTTAAAGGAATATGAAGTCTCTGCTTTAAGAATGTATCTGTCAATAGCTACAAGGAAGATGTGCATTATTGTTGTTGTTATGTGCCATTGAGTCACTTGTGGCTCATAGCAACCCTATGTACAATCACTCTCAAATCTGCTCTATCCTATGCAACCTCATTGTCTCTGACACACTACCCTCATTACCCCAGTCACTGAATCAATCCATCTCATTGAGCGTCTTCCTCCACCAATGCAAGTATAATGTCCCTCTCCAAGGAAGTCCCTCCTTGCAACATGGCCAAAGTATGGCCGATGAAGATGTGCATATGTGTTTTAAAAATTTTTATTAAATAACCATTGCAAATCTTTTTTCTCTCTTAGCCAAAACCTTCCCGTGTTAAAGAAAAGTTCTTGGAGCAAAGCATGGACATCGAGGATCTAAAATATTGTTCAGAGCATTCTGTGAATGAGGATGGTGATGGTGACACTGACGATGGGAATGATGAGGAATGGAAGCCAGGAAAATTAGTTAAAGTGTCCAGAAGAAACATTCAAGGGGTAGGAACGAGTTTCTCAACTCTAGCAGGAGTTCTAATCACTTTGTTATTATATGCTGTTTAGTCACCTGGGACTCAACAACCCTGTGTACAACAGTTCTGAAGCCTGCCATGTCCTGAGTCAGTCTTACTGACTCCAACACACCTACCTACCCCCATTGCCCTAGTTACTGTATCAATCCATCTCATCCGGGGTATTCCTCTCCTGCCCTGTCCCTGAATCCTTCTGAGCATGATGTCCTTCTCCTTGGATCAGTCCCTCCTGGCCACATGCCCAAAGTATGTGAGATGGAGCTTCAGAATCTTACCCTCCAAAAAGAGACTTGGTTTTATTCTGTCCAAGACAGGCCTATTTGTTTTCTTGGTGGTCCATGCTACGTTCAAATCCGGCACCACAACTAAAAGACATCAATTCTTCTATCATCCTTAGTCATTATTCAGCTCTCTGATGCATAGCAAGTAATTGCGAAGACCATGGACTGGATCAGACACACCTTAGCCTCTAGACTGGCATCGTTGCTTCTCAGTACTCTGGAAAGATCCCTGCCAGCAGATTTACTTAATTACAATTTCTCTTTTTATTTCCTGACTACTGGTGCCAAGAGTGTTGATTGTTGAGATAAGCAAGCTGTAAATATTAACAACCTCAATCTCTTCTCCATCCATCATAGTGCTGCCATTTACCCAGTGGTGAGAATCTTTGTCTTCTTGTTGTTGAAGACTACAGTCCTTGAGTTTCTGCAGCAAGCACTTCAGGTCCCTCTTAGTTTCAGCAAGCAAGGTTGTGTCATCCGCATAATGTAGATTGTTGATGAGTCTTCCTAATGCTACATTCCTCCTTATAAAGCCCAGTCTCCTGAATGATCTTTTCTGCATATTGATGGAAAAGGTATGGAAGCAGGACGCATCCCTAACACACTCCCTTCCTGATTTTGAACCATGCAGTATTTTCCTGCTCTGTTTGAGGGCTGCTTCCTGGTACATATATAGATTTCGCATAAGCATAATCAAGTGTTCTGGGATTCCCATTCTCCTCAAGTTTAAACACAGTTTGTTCTGACCCACACAATCAAATGCCTTTGCATAGTTAATGAAACACAGATAGATATACTTCTGGTACTCTTTTCTTTCTGCCAAATCCATCTGACATTTGGCTATAATATTTCTAGTGCCATGTTGTTGTTTTTGTTGTTGTTGTTGTTTTGGTTGTTGTTGATTGCTGTTGAGTCGAGCATGACTCATAGCGACTCTATGAACAAAAGGTCTGAAGCCTTTCTCTTAATTATCAACATTTATCAAACTTCATAGCTATGGCCTCTTCTAAACCCAGTTTGTATTTCTAGTAGTTCTCAGCTGATGTACTGTTCCAGTCATTCTGGATAATCTTCATTAGAATTTTGCTTGTATTTGATATGAATGATTTTTTTTTATTAATTTCAATGAACATCTACAGAGATTTTGGATTTCCATTCATTCATTGTTGCACTTTTCTCCCCGTCCACCCCACCCCCACCCCCAGTTCACTCTTCTCCTTGAAAAGAAAAAGAAAAACTCCTTCATTGGTATACAGTCCC